ATAATGAATTGATGCAAATAAAAAAATGTGGACTATTGGATCCCGACAAAGTGACTGAGTGGTGACATGCCTGCCGTGAAACCTGTAGTCTTCAGGTTTGATTCCCGACGAGATGATATACTGTCATCATAGAGAATTATAAATTATCGTTATGTTTTTAGGAGTTTAGCAGTTCTGTCAAGGAGTCAAAATCTTAATTTCTACTAGGCTTACATGGGTAACGCACTAATCCATTTTACCTGCATATTTTTAACACTTATAAGGATTAAATTATGTTCGGTGACTGACAGGCAGTTCATACGTATGTACATTTCTCTACTGTATGAAACTAAATACATTTCGACATAGCCAACTAACAGTGTGAAAGGTATCTATTGACTATTTGAATTAACGAAATGAATTAAAGTGAATTTGAGCCCGAACTAGAAACGTCGCTTAAAAAGTATACACTACTATGTATTCATGATTTGAGAAGCATAAACCCTAGCAAATTCATTTGCTAGTGACAAAGAAGTAGTTTACCGGGTGTTCAAAACTAAACTGAGAGCAGTCTGCGTTTTCATCAGCCTATTCTTAAGTCAAGACTTGATTCTAGAAGGATTAAGAACATTTACAAAAATAGCATGTAGAAAGAAGCTGCATTTATTTAACCACACTAATTTTCATGTTTCTGTTCTCTCTTTTATTTCCTTGGATGATATTTGATGATGTGAATAACCATTATGGCGTTTCTAACAACAGTTGAACCTTTGTGAAATTTGTCATCAAGTGTCCATGCTAAAAAATGGCGTCAGATAAATACCCCGTAAGAGGTACCATTGACGTATGTGGTACGCAGTTACATTAAGGACGGTGGAAATAATTACACCGCTGCTACAGAAGGCTTGGATGGAAGCCTAGGTACCTGCCGATTGATTGGTAGAAGATCTACCCTGTCAAACCTCCAAAAAAACTAGACCACAGTCTTTGCAAGAACTGGTGCAGAAACATTCTCCACCCCTGTCCACCACAAGAAAAATATTATGCCACATCATCCTGGAGAGATCAAGAGGTGCTCCGGATTCAAAATTACGACCGATGTAGGCTAGATTCAAGAAGAATAAATCATGTCCCGATCAAATTGCGACACTACGCTTCGCATCATCACAGAACAGAGCCTAGAATGGCAGTCAACTCAACTCTACCTCAACTTCATCGATTTTGAGAAGGCCTTCGACAACCTCTACCGAGAAGTAAGTTGGCAGGCAGCTGCTTCAAAATTACGGTTTTAGTAACACAAACCTTCATCAGCTGCACTCAACAGCTTAGTGCTGTATGATGCTACATGCCGAATGATTCACAATGGAAAGTTCAGTGGCTCATTTGAAGTGAAGACAGGAGTAAGACTGCAAGGCTGCCGCCTACCATCACATATGATCTTTCTGATTGTGGTCGACTGGATTATACAACAAACTGTGAGGAGAGAGAACGGGGGCATACTCTGGCTGGACAGATTAAAGGATACCAGAAGAAGATTTGGATTTCCCTGATGGTCTGTGTCTGATGTCACACAAACTTGAAGATCTACAGGCGAAAAACAACAAGTTGACAGAAGAAGCAACGCAGCGAAGGAAGATGGGACTTCTTTCATATGAATGTAAAGGAGACGGAGGTGATGTAGTTACCCAACCAACAACAACAAGCACCAATCACCATCAACGGGAGAAACCTAAAGGAAGTAGTCTCTTTCAACTACCTAGGCAAGCCAGCATTGTTTCAACTACAGGCTATACAGACGAGGACGTCAAAGACGGGATTGGAAAAGCAAGACAGATCTTCACTAACCTGAAACCAGCTTGAAGATCTACTCTACTGCACTGGACTGTACTGCACTCAACATAAAGCGTGAACAACATCCGGATTCTCAACACTCATGTCAGTTAAGTCAGTGATGCTGTGTGGTGGTTTGGAGACTTGGCGCGTCACGAAAAGCATTTCCAACAAACTACAGACATTCATCAACAGCTACCTACACTGGCTTGATACTGAAGATCAGATGGCCAAAACAATAAGAATAAGCAACAAGGAACTCTGAACTGGCAATGAACCAACCAAGAACCCATCGCCCAAGAAAAATTTAGAGGAAAGTGGAAATGGATTGGATTGGACGTACACTGTTAAGACCGATCGGGGACAATGCGCGCCAGGTCAGGTACTCGAGTGGAATGCAAATGGGAAACGACGAGCTGGACGTCTGAGGGTGACATGGAGGAGATCATGTGAGGAAGAAATGAACGCTTCTGGACAGTGGTGGAACCAGGTTCAAAAGACTGCAAACCGGTGTGAAATGATGACGTGCTACTGAAGCCCTATGTTTCACTAGGAACCCAGGGGACAAATGATAATAAAAAAAATTATAATTTTTGACGGAAAATCCAGTTTGTGAAGGTAATATTATATTGTTCATTTTATAAGGTAGGTGGCTATAGAATATGAAAACAGAAGCAAATAAGTGTTTATCATTATAATTTAATACAAAGTTTCTAATTTATCCAAAATATCATACTGTGATACTAACATTGAATAGAATTTGTGAATTTTATACACTCCACGAAAATTACATAGCTTCTTTCAATCTTAACTTGTTGACCGCCTCAAAACGAACTAGAAAATAGATTATTGCAGCTATGGCTACCGCCAACAAGATAGCGGCGAAGACAATTAATGCGATTGCTCCTGGATGCACTGTTGAATAGAGAAGCACAGTAAAAAAGAGCATAGATCATAGAAATTAACTTCATAATATCAAGAGGAAGATTGATAACTGAATGAATGTGAAAAACCTTGCCTGGTTAACTAGTTCACTAGTTACTAGCCGGTCCTAAACCCGTATAAAGAGAGAAGGTTGGGCATAGGGCTGGCAGACCTACCCATAAAACCAACCTAACCGCTCAAGAAAATTTGAAGCACAAAGACAATTAAAAAAATAAAATGAAACCTTTTTCTCGCTAGAATCAGAGAGACGAAATGATGCCAGTTGATGAAAGCCCTCGCGAAGTCAATTGGCCGATGCGTCTTTGTTTCTCTCGATTAAAGCAAAAGTAAACATGGGAACATAAGATGTCTGAATAATATTTGTATCTAGCAAAGCCGCTTAGAATACAAAAGAGATGAGAAGGTATGACACAGATGTGCTGGGAATCTGCGAGGAATCAGAATATGGAAGGGAAGTGGACTCTCACAAGTGTCAACTAGAGAGTCAATAATCTACTTCGATATTGTCACCCAAACGACAACTATGAGCACACGGAGAGAGTGACTATCATGATGTCTCCAAGAGTATTGACAGCTCTCATGCAGTGGGAACCAGTCTCCTCCAGGATCATGACAGCAGATTCAACTCAAAAGGAAGGAAAGTCACAATCATACAATGCTGCGCTGTGCACCTACAAATAATGCAGATGAAGAGAAGAAGGAGGAATTCTACAGACAACTGCAATTAGTACTGGACAAGACCTCAGCCCAGTTGGTGACATCAAAATTCATTCTGGTGGCTGACATGAATGCCAAACTGGGAGCGGGCAACACGGGAATGGAAGTGATTATGGGTGTAGAAGCACTCGGTGAAATGAACGAGAGTGGAGAACTGTTTACGTCTTGATGTACAGTGATTTGACAAGAGAAATTTCTTCCATGCTTCCAGCCATGGACTTAGTACTGATGGACGAAGATCAGGGGTTTAACCTACTCAAATGCATCGATATGATGGCAGGATTTATTGTATGAAACTTTTTAAATGAGCCTCACTAGAATTTGAAGAAACGAGAATATCAGATTTATGATACATCGAATCAAATCGGGTAGTATCAAAGTTGGTGTCAAATTATGACGGTGAAACCATACATATTTTGTATTGTATGTATCACCAATTCAAGGAAACAGGTCTCCCGAAATGAAATGAATTCGCGGAACTTAGTTCTCTCACATCACTTTCTATGCTGCAGCTGAAAATAAGAAAAATGCGCCATATGGTGTTTGTTTCATATTTAAAATGGTGGAGAATATTTGTAGCTCAGGTGGAGGGTATTCTTCGCATTATTTTCTCTGAGCTGAGTTGTTTAATCGTGGAGCTTTCATCGTCTTTCTAGACGACATTTTCAGCGCTAGATATCCTATGGACATTTTGCATGCCGCAATCAACTTGCATGTCAACATCTGAATTCATTGTGAAAGTTTTGTTTTAGGTTAGCAGGTGATCCGAAACTGAAAGTTCCAACGAAGAAAAGGATTTTCGATGAAAGCGACACCGTCATAAATCTGTGTACCTTCGTCAATCAGACTTAATCTTAGTATATAATTCAATCTATCACTTGAAGACCTAATTACTCGGTGAGGTACTTAGATGTACTTAACCTTAAAGCCTTCTTTCTAGATAATTCTTGTTCAGATAGCAATAATGAATTTGGCAGTAGCCTGGCATATTCAAAAAATAACTGAGCCATCTCGCTTGGTAAAAACCGAAAAATGTATTGACTGATTTGTCTTCTTTGCCTAGTATTATGTGCCTGACCTCACTTTTGCACTCGCAAACTTATTCTTCAGAAGGTTTTCTGCTATAGCCAGATATGCAACAACTAAGTTGTTCTAAGCGTATCTGAATCTGATTTAAATTCTTCATAACTATTACCTTCCAAATCTCCATATCAATAATATATGTAAACGGTGATTGCAAAACGTTGTCATATACTTTGAACAACCCTGAAAACACATTCAGGTTGCAAATAATTGGTCTAGCTAGTCGGCTTACAACAGTCAAAACAGGTTTCTTCATTCAGATAGGCCTTCAATAATAACAGTTTATGGTTAGTAGCCTATGACATGCAGTTGAACATCTAAGAAGAAATTCATGTCCATATAATGATTTTTGGTTTACACCTTTTTACACATTAATCTTTGCCTTACCAATAGCATAAGATAAATAATTTTACTTTTAAAAATGTGCCTCATGTGGAAGTGTTTTTCTAAAACGTACATGTACAATTTTTTCCTGGATCATCTGGATTTGAATCTTTCCACATTGGATCACAAGTACATGTGACACCATTATCAGTATTTCGGCAAGAAGCGTGTTGACCACACAGTGATACTGTTTGAGAACAAGTAACTCTTGGAGAAATACCTAAAATAAAGATGAATTGATGGATGAGTGAATATCTTTTATATATTAACAAGAAAATAGTTTCCTTTCAATAAACTGATGATTTTTTTAACTCATATAGTTCATCACTGTTGACTACATTTAATTGTTTCCCAAGATGGAATCATAACAAGGAAATTTTAAATCAGAATATTAGTCATTTATGCAAAAGGTTTACTTATTTCACTTGCATGCGTGATACTGACTGTATAACCCTTCCAAAATAAACAGAGTTAGAGTTCCGAGTTTATTTCCAAGATATCTAGTATGATAAAAATTATACTTTTATGTTGGCATTGGTGTTGTAAAAAGAAGGCGATTCTACTTATTTTGTCTCAGTTACCTTAACTTATCAACAAATGCCTTCCTATACAGAAGTTAAATGTAATGATAAAACAAATCGTCTAGATTTTTATCGTCAAAAATCTATGACTTAAAAGCAGCTTTTTATACTCAAGCTTGACTGAAAAATATTCACAAGACTTTAATGTATGTAGCGAATACAATTTCTTCATAGCTTTGTGTATGTGTGTGACCATTTATCCAGGGATCTTTTTTATGGTTAGCAAAATCCTCCTGAGAATACCTATTATCAATTCAAAATCTGTAGTATTTAAAGGGACTAAACAATTTCATCATTGATCACTTGTCTTGAGTTTGAGGTTCAATTTATTGAAAAACACTAAGGAACATACCAAGATTTTTACATGAGAACATTGTTTGTATAATTCTTAACTTCATGCAGGAAAATAATTGCTGAGAATATCATCTAAAGCTGTTCAAATGACCATTCTTCCTAGATTAAATCATCTTCCATCATATGAAGAGGTAAACTGATGCCCATTAGCCTTGAATAAAACCATCTGCTACTGCCAAATTTCATGTGGAAAATATTGAAAGTTCAAAATAACTTGTCTGTTTGTTCGTTATATGGCTATCTTAATATAGTCATACTGAAATGATATAAAAAATAAATCATTCTACGAATTCATAAACTTTACAGAAACAATACTACTCACGTGTTGATTCAATGTTATCAAGGTATTGTCCAGATGTTAAATTAAGTTGTTTATAACCACTAAGTAATATTTCTGTAAATTGTGCCTGATTCAATTGTGAACCAGACAATGTTTGTAGTTCAACTGATCCACTTGCTTGCACTCCATCTGATGTTGAAGTTACATTAGTAGCTTGTCGTTTTGAACGCTTAGTAACAGTAACACGACTGAATACAACAGAAGTACATGTTGCACCTTGACTTATTCGTGAATTTCCTGATTTCAAGCTGTTTAAGACCTTAAAAACAGAAAAGATAAATTTAAATATACTTGTTATTTATTCCTAGCCTTAAAGCTTACTATCAGCATTTTCACAGCTGTTTCGTAATCAACTGAATCATATTAAGCCTTTGGAAGTTGTTTCAACCAATTAAGTGTCACCCCATCGTTTCATCTACCATCTTCTTTCAGTTTATTGCTTTGCAGGCTTAAGTCATATTAAACAAAAAGCACCATGGTGAAAAGTAACAGACTCTTAAGCATACAGACAGCAGGTTAAATTACAAATGATGAGAATCAAGCACGAACTGCAGTCTGACAAAAAAAGCAGTTCATCTTCAGTCAAATATCATAATTTGAGTCTTATAAAACTTCTACTGGTTGATAATCGAAAGTGAAATAAAAATTTGAACCTTAGCTGGATTCGAACCAGCGACCACCAGGTTTCCGGTTGGATGCTCTACCAACTGAGCTACGAGATCTGATTAATGACAAGGTTTTTATTTCACTTCAAACACCAAGAGTTTTGTCTGACTACCATAAGAATTAGTGACGTGCTGCTATCGCTCGCTCATATTTATACTGGCTGCCTAGTCAGGACCTCTCACACCAGTCCAAATCATACTGAATTAAAGAGGGGGAGTATCATATTGATTATCATTTGAGCATCGAGAGGGAAACCCGTTGGTCACTGGTTAGATTCCAGATGTGGTCCAAATTTCCAATTTACCTTCAGTCATCACCCAGTATAAATACTAGTCTGCCAAACCATGGATAACTCAGATAGTCAAATGATAACCTTACAAAACAGCAAGAAGCATGACTACATAATTTTTGCTACTACGATTTAGTCTCGTCAAAACTGTTCCCAATATTTTGATAGGATTCATTTAATTCCACAAACAAACATGGTGTAGATGTTAGCTAAACTCAACACTACCTACTCGCAGTTTACTTCTGGCTATCTATGCTTCAAATTCTTCAATGACATTGTTGATGGCAAAATTAATAAACATCTTCTTTAACACACTGGTGAACATAAACACATAACAAAATACATACGCCATATCTGACTATAATTCATCCAGTTTATCTCTTTGTTAGTGGCTTCACTGAATTTAATTTCAGCAGTAATTACTACTCATATTCTAACTAACTTCGCGTGTGACCTGTGGAGATTTTGTTCGGTGAGACTAAAGTGTCTTTTAACGATTGGGTCAGAATAGTTTTTTTCTAAATTTCCAACTCGCCTTGATGCTAGACCGAAGTTGGTGTCTATAAATAACTCAAGCACATACGAATCCTACAAAGAAGCTCTGATGCCGAATCCTGTCCAGTGTATCACTCATTTCTTGACCAGAGTGTACGGCAAGCTATTCAAAAGACTTTTGTGTGACCATACTAAACGGTTCCGCACAGATAATATTCCCGAGACAATCTTTTCTGTATGAGAAGTGTGTTTCAAGAAACAGATTAGGATATATTTATCCATTAAGTCGTAGACAGCATTAACTCAGATCCTGTCTAGATATTGGCTGCCCAGCTGAAACACTCTCCATAAGATTTGATTGATATTTTCCTCCATGACTCAAGAAGAACTGAAGTGAAAAGGTGAATGACAACATTGTCGTTGGATAAGTCAGCTACTCAATTTAGTCCGAAATACACCGTCCACATGCAACGCACAAACAGAAATTTCCGTCATAAGAGAAGGCTTCCATTGTATGGAAACTGTTTGAAGAACTTATTGGTGAAAAAACAGTTAAACAATGAAACTTGTCATAGTGTCTATACAATGGACCAGTCATACTTTTTTTAACTTGGTAAAATAATCATTCGTCTACTGTACTATTTAAGTGAAAGAAAAATCTCTAAGACAATGCAACAACCAAAGAAGCAGAAACTGAATATCATTTACAAAATCAAATACAATAACTGTAGTCAATACTACATTGGACAAAGTGGTCGCTCTCTTCGCCTCCGTCTACATGAACACCAATTGGTTACTAAACGTCTCAGTTCATACTGAAGTTAGTGCTGATGATGTCGTCTAGAAAGACGATGAGAGCTCCATGATTGAAAACCCAGCTCAGAGAAAAAAATACAACCAAGACAATTTAGTTTGTGCTGTTGGAAATTTTTAACTCTCGTATTTTCCTATTCTTCTAGATTGTACTTTATTATTCTTTCTTCATCTGGTGTGACTTGTGTGCATTTGGCTTAAACCGCCAGCAATATAGTCAACAGATATCTAAATTCACGCAGTTAACTAGTTACAGTTATTTTATGGGACACTGAGTATCTGTTTATCCGAAGATCTCCCAATATATCTTCCGAAGGAAGAAAGTATACAATTATGCCTGTACGTACGAACGTATTCATCCAGCTATCTAGCATACATGTTATGTAGAGAAAATGCCATAGATTAGATTTCATTCACATACTTTTAATCATAGCCAAATGACCAATTAAATTTGTTAACCCAGCATGTATTTCTGCCTTTGTTAAAACTATCGATTACATACTTGAGTCGGTATTAACAATGAAGTTGGTGTTGCAAAAGATGTAATATTTCTGGAATATTATATACTATGAAGTCAAAACTGCACCGAACTATTTTATGGAATATATTTAACAATATTACAAAAGATAAGAGCTACATACTTATGTGGATACTTAGTTTAAAGTTTCCCACTAGAACTAAGATCGTGGTTATATTATATTTCAGCTATCCGACATTATGAGTCCGACGTCCTTTGCACTGAATCATGAAACTATCCCCTTTAATAAACACTTTATAGGTATCTTGGATATTACTTCTCTCCTTGGACATATATTGATCAAATTATAAAGCAAAGATTTCAGCCAAGAAAATTTCTCATTGCGACGATTTCATATTCAAAAAATGTACAAAGCATATTGCAAACGTTTAACGAATGCCACCCATCAGTCATCTTCATCATCCCATTAATATGCTAATAAAAAGAAGACCTAATGGATCGGTAAATAGATCGGTTTACACTAAAACAACCTGGAAAAGGCAAGTAACCAATATCCAGAGATTTGATTCGATATAAAAGAACGAAATTTTGGTTCATTCTGTTTCATGACTAGTTTTAAAAATCTGTACAGAAGATAGTGTAAAGAACCAGCCGAATTTACCAAAAGGAAACTTTAGGGAAAACGGATATCCACTAAGTCTTATCAAATGTAACAGTAGACATACTAACAAACATCTAGATATAATAATGGTGCCAAAAAAGAAGGTTCACGTCAATTTAGAATTTAGAGGTGATATTACAGATGAAACATTTAAGAACCGTTCAACCAGGTCAATAAGTAAAGCACTGCATGCCCGTCTCTAACAGTTGCCTATTTGATTCACCTATTGATTCATTTTAATGCTATAGAAATGCTAACCCGATTGTACAATTCAGTGTGCATCGACATGTTCACCTTCCATTGTGGGACTAGGTTCAAAGAACGTCCATCGGGGAACATTTCTCGTCGCTTTCGAAAGCACCTACCAGTATGGCAGAACCAAGGGAAACGTAGAGGCTTAAATTCATCGATTCTTCAACAGGCAGTTGATTATAACCATGCAGCTATCGAATCGTCATTTAATGCTATTTATAACGTCAAAATTGTTGAAAGGTGCACGCACACCCCCACTTTGTATCACAAAGGCCTTGGTGATTCCTAATCTTAACTTGAAACTAAATGTACGGAAATAGTAAATACGGCCCGTTTCATTACCTTGGATCTAACTAACAATTTTCAACACATGTCTCATATATCTAGCTCTTCTTAATTTTATTTTATCTACTTCAATCCACTTTCTTTTTCTCATGAAAACACAAGCTTACACTTAGTAAAGTAAAACCATAGGTGAATAAATTCTTATATAATGTGAAATCAAAACTAGGAATACCTTGTGGTTTAGTTGGCATCAAAAAGTTATACCGCTTTACGCTTCTATGAACTTCCTAAAAATCATGAACGTAACTTTTGATTCATCTGATTGTTGATTGGATCGACTTTTCAACATATAACCTTTCCAAATACCTTTCACAAATCTTTAAACAATTACAAGACAATTTGGTAAGTATCATTGAAAATTCTTTAGACTTTAAGCACAAATTATTACGAATAAGCGTGGAAAATGATGAAATAATGGTTAGCTTTGATGTTTTTTCTCTGCATATAAATATTCCGATTAATGAAAGTATACAACTTGTAAGATTCTTATTGCAATCTGGCATTTCCTTATCACGTGGATGCAACATTTCCACAAATGAAATCGATGATGCCCTGAAATTACGTTCGACCGTAGTTACAAATAGATATGTTCAATCATCACAGTCAATAATTTTGATAACCGGTATCTTCATAAAACGTCTCACAAACTGAGCAACAAAGTAAGCTAGCTATCATCCCGATAGCTATGTTTTAGAAATTACTACACAAGGGTATTGTGACCTCTATTTTGATTTATAACTTCCAATAAAGTATACCACACTTTTTTTAATTATACAGCAGGTAGGTTACTTACGTTAGTAGTCAGAGTCCCACACTAGTTTACTAAGATCATCGGTTTTATTCTTGGCCTAATTAGAAACTTCACCTAGCTTCAGTTATCATCCTCAAAAACACTGAGACCAGTTTGCTAGATTATCTGAGATAGCTTGCATAAAATTTTAACTATGACTTTATTTTGATATCTCAGTTGGAGATTGATCACCATGAGGATGGTATTACTCAGCTGATGCAGTGATTCAAAATATTACAGAATATTCAGTCACATCACAATTGGTTGAGACTTTTGGTCACTCAATTGAAGATGAAACTGTTAACTACATCAGTAAAATTGGAGATTCGTGGCTGCTGTTTTTATTCCCACCTCGTCAGTTGCATTAACCCAGTATCAGTTACCATCTCGTTACACCTTTAAAAGGTTGATTTTGATTCAGTCTCTGCAGTGTATTAGTCAAAAATACTTGTAAGCATGAAATAGACATCCTTACTGATATTACAAAAGATGAAGAAAGAGATTACTCAGAATGATGTAATATGATATTTTTAATTGCGTTTACTATAATAAGTGAAACGAGCATTAAATCTCACTATTTTGACTACTTTAATCTATAGCTGACAGACAGTAAGCTTGATGGAAAGATTATACAGGTTAGCGTAAGGTATCCATTAGGATCCTGAATTCTATTCATGAAATATAATTATTTTTTTGTGTGAAACGTTATTTGTTAGGCAACATACTACTCAATAGTGAACGTTTTGTATGTCTTTTATGAACACTACAGTTTTTTTGTGTGATAAGAGTCAGGCGAAGTCTTTTAAGTTTAGAAGTTAGATTTCCTCCGTGTTAGGTACCACAAAAACGTGTAATACTCATAAAAGTCAAAGTCAAATCTGCTATGTCTTATAAAAATTCACGCTGTTGATATTTATAATAATTCTTTGTTATTAATGAACTACAGTCAAGCCAACGTAACCTAAAACGGTCAGTGTTATTAAGGTTATTTATTCGACTAACCAACCTGAACGATTTTGAGATATATTTATTGACAGGAAACAGCATTGAAATTGTAGCTTATAGCTGATGGATAGGTGCTCAGCTTTTGATATAACCGATGTACAGCAGCTACCAGTAGAATCTAAAACATACGTTTCGTTGGATTAAGAACTCGTCAACTAGATGTAATTGCCTCTCAGTGAGCGATTTTTTTCCCAGTGGGACTCAAGCATACGGCCAACCGCTTCAAAAGCTAGGGAGTTATGCAGTAGGCCACTAAGCTATAGTAGATACGTCTTGTGCAATGGGCATAAAATAGTTTTAATTTTATAGCTCGTGTTATCCAACTTTGCTTCTCACACGAAACTGTTATGTTGACAACATTTATTATACCACTCGAAATTCTTCTACTCGGTACATTGAACAATTTGTTTGATTCATTAAAAAATTTTAAAAGGTTTAAAATGTATGGGTTTAATACTTTAAGAATATTTCTGTAAATTAACAACATACCAGAGAACAAAAGCTGCTGAATAATTGAATATAAGAAGATGACTTTGTGTCACTGTAATCATCAGACCATGAGACAAAGCTCCCCGTTGTGACGGTATATAATACTGCTTTAATTTGAAATTCTGTTGAAACTAGAATGAAATCCAAAAATAAGACAGAATTAGACATTTTTTGTCGGTGAAAAATTTGAAGCTTTGTATTGTATGTATATATATAATTTCTACTTATTCAATGGTTAAGTGAAGTCACTTTTTCAAGACTTGATGGTGGGAGATGACCCTTTTCAAATATAACTAAATATTTGAAGTTGTTATTCACCGGAGACTGACATCAGTTGGAGGAACAAAGGAAACCTGGGAGCATTGGACAGCTGTTTCATCCTAGTATGGGACTCAGCAGTGCGCACCCACGACCCCGCCAGGGATCGAACCCGGAGCCTTCAGGTCCCGTGGCCAGCGCGCTACCATTGAGCCACTGGGTCAGAACCCAGTGCTTCATATTTCCAACTTCTGTTAGCTCACGACATAGCGTGACCGCCACCCAATGTCATCGTTGAGTAACTGTCCTCAAGACAATCAGGCTAGCCGTGGGACCTGAAGGTCGCGGGTCCAACCCGGCGGGGTCGTGGGTGCGCACTGAGTCCCATACCAGGACGAAGCAGCTGTCCAGGGCTCCCAGGTTTCCTTTGTTCCTCCAACTGATGTCAGTCTACGATGAATAACAACTTAAAATATTTCTAAAATCTCCACAACTTTCTCAAAATTCAACTTAACATTTCATAGAAACAGGTCACAAAGTTAATATTTGAACAGTTTCCAAAGTTTTATATAGGAACAGTTAGGGACGTATTCTGAGAGTTTCGAAAGCCATAGCCATTCACAAATCTAAACCACCTTTATGTATACAAAAACAATTTGCTATTACACCACACCTAGCTTGGTAAACTTTGTTTTCTTACCAAGATTAGGATTAACCACGTCACTTCCTTTTTGTTCTCATCTTTTTAATTTTAATTCCCTATTATGATAATTGCTGTATTTGTCCCTCCACTCCTAGGTTTAATATATACAGACTTGATGAGCATTGTTGTTTATATACCTAGTTTGGCCTACTGGAATAAAAACATATGCATGAATTTCCTTTCCATAGGATCAAGCTATTAGTAGCACTATCACTGTGCATACACTAGTAGATGTTACTTTTTGTAACTACTGTAAGTACTTTGAAGCCCAATACTGGCACTACTGAGGAGTCCTACACTAGGACGGAACAGCTGTCCACTGCTCCCAGGTTTCCAATGTTCCTCCAAATGACGTCAGGCCACGATGAATACTAACCTGAAAAATCTCTAAATCCTGACAACACCCAAATGGCGGTACATTCTACAAAATGCAAACTAAGTCTAATAAACTAAAAAATTATGAAACCACCTTCTTTAATACCTGTTAATTAGCTGATCCATTGTATGAAACAAAAAAATTGTTTATAGGCAGAAGTCAATAACAGCTTGACTTATGAAGGAAATCACATAAAACAGACAGTTATCTATGAAACACTTTGTTTGTTTTAACATCGGTTTCGAATAGTCTTTAAAAACCTCATGGTAACGTTAATGTTGGGTTGAATGCGTTAGATTTTCTCGCTTATACAATAAATGTTTCACGAAACGATTAGTAACCAATATAACTGTCAAGATATAAGTGCTCAGTACTAATAGTTGTGTAACGATCAAGTTCTTATTTTGGAAAGAAGCTAATTGACACGATACCTTTTGTTCTGCTCATATAGCTGGGTAATATGATTGAAAGCACTCACTTTCTAATCACGTAAATTAGGTACATTCACAGATTCCTACGCTATACTTAGGATCCATTACAATAGCTTCTAAACAAAAAAATCACTGTACTCAGAAGTGGTCCTTAAATATCTTATTTACTGAACACATCAAAATGTTCAAGAAATGAAGGTTACTTGGTGGACTAGACAATAGTATGAATGTAATAAATCTAATTTTTAAACATGCTTATCTGTCAATGTTTACTCGTATCCATTATATATTTTTGTGTTATACGGAAGACAATGGAAAAACAAGAACTTACACTATCATGCCTATTCTATCGAATTACTTGCATGATACATCAGATTTTACTTTAATTACGAAATTCAGAAGTCAACATTGTGCAATTGATAACATGAAGATTGTTATTAATATCTAGCCCACCGTACACAATTTTCATGCAGTGACAAAATCAGAAATAGTTTCAAGGAAAAGCATACTGACTGACCCTGAACAATCTATTTCCCAAATTTAAATAAATGAAAAACGCTAAAGTTATAAATCAGTATACTTTAATTGAATTTAAAAGTTTTTAAAAACGGTTAAGTACAAAGAAAGGCAATTTTTAGAATATCATTTAAAAAGCCATTTCTAATTTACTCACTTCTGTCTACATAAGTTGCTAAAGTCACTGTCGACTTTTCAGTAGTTGTATCAGTTGTGCCTGTTAATACAAAAGAAACTAATGTAGTAGATGTGGAATAATCTTGAGCTGAACTTGTCTCCTTGGAATTCTGTGATCCTTTTGTAGATGATGAATGACTATCAGTTAGATTTTTGAAGGGTACTTCACTGGATAAGGTAACATTTGTTGATATTATTGTTGTAAGTGATGATGTTTTAAATGGCGGAATAGTCGTTGTCAGTGGAGTCTGAAGATCACTTAGCGTTCTGCTGCTTGAAACCGCATCCGTTGTATCAGCTATAGATGTTGCAGGAAAATAAAAGAATTAAATGTTAACAGAAATTTACGAATATTTGAGAAACATATGCAACATATGCAGAATGAAACAATATATTTTATAAAAAAATATATAATATTTCAGATACAGACAGACTCCACAGGATCGACTGGTTAATTTAATATATCATGGAATGAGACAACTTTAATAACTCACAGACAGATCTTATATATGTATCTATACAGTTGCAAACAATAGGCCAGCAGCAATTTGAGTGGGAAGAAAACTGAAAAAAAGCTACAACTAAAACGCTGAAAATCGAGGAAAACAATGAAATTATAGTGAAAATAAGATAACGAGCGAAAATGAAGCATCTAAAGTACAAAAGGATGAGAGGAAATAATTGGCCGTAGGCAGATTCCGCAACGCAAGATTAAAAGCGAAAGACGAAAGGAAACACTAGATAAGATAAACCAGAGAATAAGTCACAAGCAGGAAGGAAAATGAAAATGAAAGGGGGAATATAGAAAGCTGAGAAATCTCCCAAACAGAAACAGAAGCAAAAATAGAAAAGACGGAAGAAGATGTATGGCCAATAGAAAACATTGTAAAATAACGAAGCAAAGAGAGAAAAAGATTAGAGAAAGGCGAAAAAGATAAAAAGGAATGCGAAGAAGGAAAAGAAATTGGCAAAAGTGTATACCTGTGTGTGCCTGCCATCGACTACGCTACCGAGTTCCTCAATTCACTTTACTCATGATCGAGGCTGAGTGAGATGAGTTTGCACTTGATTAATTAAACCACTCTGACCACTGTGTTATGAGTTATATCGTGACAGGCTATATTTAAGTGCAGTCCAAATCCCACATGCATATAAGTGAGCTGGGAACAGCCATCACTGGAAATCACATCGGCAAAGCAAACTTGAATGAGAGTCTGATCCCAGGTAGCAGCGTTAATACCAAATACAAAATCCAAGCAGATCATGACAACCAAGAAAAATAAAACTGGAAGAAAAGAAGAAAACAGCACAGGAGACAGAAAACCTGGAAAAGAAATACAGAAGCAAACAACTAACAGAAACAATCAGCAACGAAGAAAAAAGAGAGCAACAGAAACACTCGGCAATATAAAAAGAGTGAAAGCAAGAGAAAGTAAAACAGCAAAAAGAAAAAAGGTTGAATAAACAGAGAAATAAAAGCAAGAAAACAAAGTGAGCAACCGCAAAGAATAACGCAAAAGGAAAAGAAGCAACACTAAAGAAACACAGAGAAGGAAAAGAAACAGAGGAGGATAGAGCAGTGAGAAGAGTGGGTGTGGTGAGTTGGCATTTGACGAAGTGAGAAGTGAGTGATGGAAGCAGCAAGACGAAGACGACCAACTCACTTGCGGTTCCACCAGTAGTCACGAGTGTTGTGTTGACCACATTTGTCGTCTGTCCAGATGCTGTTGACGAGCTGCTACTCGGTGTTAGTGTGGACGATTGCCTTGCATGTGGTGTTGACTCGCTGGTGTCCAGACCTGTTCAATGGAAAATAGGTATAGGTGAAGTGAGTTCAAGTTAGTCGACGTGCTGCAAGCAATCATCAATTCTGCTTTGCTTCACAGTCTGTCCACGCATACACTGAACACGGTCAATCGATGCGCGGATGAAATGCGTGTCAAGTGATCGTGGAAATAATGGTGTCGTCTCACCATCAATGCTGCATGACACACTGAAAGCAAAGAAAAGCCCACACACTGAATCACAAACTCAATGTCACACACGAGCACACCACCACGCACAAACACACAAATGCGAGGTGTTCAACACCCGATATTCCTGATCTCCTGAATATCGAGGCATGTGCTTGCTTGTCGACATTGCTATGCTTCAGGTGATGAATTATTGCGGTGTGCAAGACAGACAGGCAGTAATGACTGTGAGAGAGAAGGCAAGGGAAGAGAGGAGGATAGAGCAGTGAGAAGAGTGGGTGTGGTGAGTTGGCATTTGACGAAGTGAGAAGTGAGTGATGGAAGCAGCAAGACGAAGACGACCAACTCACTTGCGGTTCCACCAGTAGTCACGAGTGTTGTGTTGACCACATTTGTCGTCTGTCCAGATGCTGTTGACGAGCTGCTACTCGGTGTTAGTGTGGACGATTGCCTTGCATGTGGTGTTGACTCGCTGGTGTCCAGACCTGTTCAATGGAAAATAGGTATAGGTGAAGTGAGTTCAAGTTAGTCGACGTGCTGCAAGCAATCATCAATTCTGCTTTGCTTCACAGTCTGTCCACGCATACACTGAACACGGTCAATCGATGCGCGGATGAAATGCGTGTCAAGTGATCGTGGAAATAATGGTGTCGTCTCACCATCAATGCTGCATGACACACTGAAAGCAAAGAAAAGCCCACACACTGAATCACAAACTCAATGTCACACACGAGCACACCACCACGCACAAACACACAAATGCGAGGTGTTCAACACCCGATATTCCTGATCTCCTGAATATCGAGGCATGTGCTTGCTTGTCGACATTGCTATGCTTCAGGTGATGAATTATTGCGGTGTGCAAGACAGACAGGCAGTAATGACTGTGAGAGAGAAGGCAAGGGAAGAGAGGAGGATAGAGCAGTGAGAAGAGTGGGTGTGGTGAGTTGGCATTTGACGAAGTGAGAAGTGAGTGATGGAAGCAGCAAGACGAAGACGACCAACTCACTTGCGGTTCCACCAGTAGTCACGAGTGTTGTGTTGACCACATTTGTCGTCTGTCCAGATGCTGTTGACGAGCTGCTACTCGGTGTTAGTGTGGACGATTGCCTTGCATGTGGTGTTGACTCGCTGGTGTCCAGACCTGTTCAATGGAAAATAGGTACAGGTGAAGTGAGTTCAAGTTAGTCGACGTGCTGCAAGCAATCATCAATTCTGCTTTGCTTCACAGTCTGTCCACGCATACACTGAACACGGTCAATCGATGCGCGGATGAAATGCGTGTCAAGTGATCGTGGAAATAATGGTGTCGTCTCACCATCAATGCTGCATGACACACTGAAAGCAAAGAAAAGCCCACACACTGAATCACAAACTCAATGTCACACACGAGCACACCACCACGCACAAACACACAAATGCGAGGTGTTCAACACCCGATATTCCTGATCTCCTGAATATCGAGGCATGTGCTTGCTTGTCGACATTGCTATGCTTCAGGTGATGAATTATTGCGGTGTGCAAGACAGACAGGCAGTAATGACTGTGAGAGAGAAGGCAAGGGAAGAGAGGAGGATAGAGCAGTGAGAAGAGTGGGTGTGGTGAGTTGGCATTTGACGAAGTGAGAAGTGAGTGATGGAAGCAGCAAGACGAAGACGACCAACTCACTTGCGGTTCCACCAGTAGTCACGAGTGTTGTGTTGACCACATTTGTCGTCTGTCCAGATGCTGTTGACGAGCTGCTACTCGGTGTTAGTGTGGACGATTGCCTTGCATGTGGTGTTGACTCGCTGGTGTCCAGACCTGTTCAATGGAAAATAGGTATAGGTGAAGTGAGTTCAAGTTAGTCGACGTGCTGCAAGCAATCATCAATTCTGCTTTGCTTCACAGTCTGTCCACGCATACACTGAACACGGTCAATCGATGCGCGGATGAAATGCGTGTCAAGTGATCGTGGAAATAATGGTGTCGTCTCACCATCAATGCTGCATGACACACTGAAAGCAAAGAAAAGCCCACACACTGAATCACAAACTCAATGTCACACACGAGCACACCACCACGCACAAACACACAAATGCGAGGTGTTCAACACCCGATATTCCTGATCTCCTGAATATCGAGGCATGTGCTTGCTTGTCGACATTGCTATGCTTCAGGTGATGAATTATTGCGGTGTGCAAGACAGACAGGCAGTAATGACTGTGAGAGAGAAGGCAAGGGAAGAGAGGAGGATAGAGCAGTGAGAAGAGTGGGTGTGGTGAGTTGGCATTTGACGAAGTGAGAAGTGAGTGATGGAAGCAGCAAGACGAAGACGACCAACTCACTTGCGGTTCCACCAGTAGTCACGAGTGTTGTGTTGACCACATTTGTCGTCTGTCCAGATGCTGTTGACGAGCTGCTACTCGGTGTTAGTGTGGACGATTGCCTTGCATGTGGTGTTGACTCGCTGGTGTCCAGACCTGTTCAATGGAAAATAGGTATAGGTGAAGTGAGTTCAAGTTAGTCGACGTGCTGCAAGCAATCATCAATTCTGCTTTGCTTCACAGTCTGTCCACGCATACACTGAACACGGTCAATCGATGCGCGGATGAAATGCGTGTCAAGTGATCGTGGAAATAATGGTGTCGTCTCACCATCAATGCTGCATGACACACTGAAAGCAAAGAAAAGCCCACACACTGAATCACAAACTCAATGTCACACACGAGCACACCACCACGCACAAACACACAAATGCGAGGTGTTCAACACCCGATATTCCTGATCTCCTGAATATCGAGGCATGTGCTTGCTTGTCGACATTGCTATGCTTCAGGTGATGAATTATTGCGGTGTGCAAGACAGACAGGCAGTAATGACTGTGAGAGAGAAGGCAAGGGAAGAGAGGAGGATAGAGCAGTGAGAAGAGTGGGTGTGGTGAGTTGGCATTTGACGAAGTGAGAAGTGAGTGATGGAAGCAGCAAGACGAAGACGACCAACTCACTTGCGGTTCCACCAGTAGTCACGAGTGTTGTGTTGACCACATTTGTCGTCTGTCCAGATGCTGTTGACGAGCTGCTACTCGGTGTTAGTGTGGACGATTGCCTTGCATGTGGTGTTGACTCGCTGGTGTCCAGACCTGTTCAATGGAAAATAGGTATAGGTGAAGTGAGTTCAAGTTAGTCGACGTGCTGCAAGCAATCATCAATTCTGCTTTGCTTCACAGTCTGTCCACGCATACACTGAACACGGTCAATCGATGCGCGGATGAAATGCGTGTCAAGTGATCGTGGAAATAATGGTGTCGTCTCACCATCAATGCTGCATGACACACTGAAAGCAAAGAAAAGCCCACACACTGAATCACAAACTCAATGTCACACACGAGCACACCACCACGCACAAACACACAAATGCGAGGTGTTCAACACCCGATATTCCTGATCTCCTGAATATCGAGGCATGTGCTTGCTTGTCGACATTGCTATGCTTCAGGTGATGAATTATTGCGGTGTGCAAGACAGACAGGCAGTAATGACTGTGAGAGAGAAGGCAAGGGAAGAGAGGAGGATAGAGCAGTGAGAAGAGTGGGTGTGGTGAGTTGGCATTTGACGAAGTGAGAAGTGAGTGATGGAAGCAGCAAGACGAAGACGACCAACTCACTTGCGGTTCCACCAGTAGTCACGAGTGTTGTGTTGACCACATTTGTCGTCTGTCCAGATGCTGTTGACGAGCTGCTACTCGGTGTTAGTGTGGACGATTGCCTTGCATGTGGTGTTGACTCGCTGGTGTCCAGACCTGTTCAATGGAAAATAGGTATAGGTGAAGTGAGTTCAAGTTAGTCGACGTGCTGCAAGCAATCATCAATTCTGCTTTGCTTCACAGTCTGTCCACGCATACACTGAACACGGTCAATCGATGCGCGGATGAAATGCGTGTCAAGTGATCGTGGAAATAATGGTGTCGTCTCACCATCAATGCTGCATGACACACTGAAAGCAAAGAAAAGCCCACACACTGAATCACAAACTCAATGTCACACACGAGCACACCACCACGCACAAACACACAAATGCGAGGTGTTCAACACCCGATATTCCTGATCTCCTGAATATCGAGGCATGTGCTTGCTTGTCGACATTGCTATGCTTCAGGTGATGAATTATTGCGGTGTGCAAGACAGACAGGCAGTAATGACTGTGAGAGAGAAGGCAAGGGAAGAGAGGAGGATAGAGCAGTGAGAAGAGTGGGTGTGGTGAGTTGGCATTTGACGAAGTGAGAAGTGAGTGATGGAAGCAGCAAGACGAAGACGACCAACTCACTTGCGGTTCCACCAGTAGTCACGAGTGTTGTGTTGACCACATTTGTCGTCTGTCCAGATGCTGTTGACGAGCTGCTACTCGGTGTTAGTGTGGACGATTGCCTTGCATGTGGTGTTGACTCGCTGGTGTCCAGACCTGTTCAATGGAAAATAGGTATAGGTGAAGTGAGTTCAAGTTAGTCGACGTGCTGCAAGCAATCATCAATTCTGCTTTGCTTCACAGTCTGTCCACGCATACACTGAACACGGTCAATCGATGCGCGGATGAAATGCGTGTCAAGTGATCGTGGAAATAATGGTGTCGTCTCACCATCAATGCTGCATGACACACTGAAAGCAAAGAAAAGCCCACACACTGAATCACAAACTCAATGTCACACACGAGCACACCACCACGCACAAACACACAAATGCGAGGTGTTCAACACCCGATATTCCTGATCTCCTGAATATCGAGGCATGTGCTTGCTTGTCGACATTGCTATGCTTCAGGTGATGAATTATTGCGGTGTGCAAGACAGACAGGCAGTAATGACTGTGAGAGAGAAGGCAAGGGAAGAGAGGAGGATAGAGCAGTGAGAAGAGTGGGTGTGGTGAGTTGGCATTTGACGAAGTGAGAAGTGAGTGATGGAAGCAGCAAGACGAAGACGACCAACTCACTTGCGGTTCCACCAGTAGTCACGAGTGTTGTGTTGACCACATTTGTCGTCTGTCCAGATGCTGTTGACGAGCTGCTACTCGGTGTTAGTGTGGACGATTGCCTTGCATGTGGTGTTGACTCGCTGGTGTCCAGACCTGTTCAATGGAAAATAGGTATAGGTGAAGTGAGTTCAAGTTAGTCGACGTGCTGCAAGCAATCATCAATTCTGCTTTGCTTCACAGTCTGTCCACGCATACACTGAACACGGTCAATCGATGCGCGGATGAAATGCGTGTCAAGTGATCGTGGAAATAATGGTGTCGTCTCACCATCAATGCTGCATGACACACTGAAAGCAAAGAAAAGCCCACACACTGAATCACAAACTCAATGTCACACACGAGCACACCACCACGCACAAACACACAAATGCGAGGTGTTCAACACCCGATATTCCTGATCTCCTGAATATCGAGGCATGTGCTTGCTTGTCGACATTGCTATGCTTCAGGTGATGAATTATTGCGGTGTGCAAGACAGACAGGCAGTAATGACTGTGAGAGAGAAGGCAAGGGAAGAGAGGAGGATAGAGCAGTGAGAAGAGTGGGTGTGGTGAGTTGGCATTTGACGAAGTGAGAAGTGAGTGATGGAAGCAGCAAGACGAAGACGACCAACTCACTTGCGGTTCCACCAGTAGTCACGAGTGTTGTGTTGACCACATTTGTCGTCTGTCCAGATGCTGTTGACGAGCTGCTACTCGGTGTTAGTGTGGACGATTGCCTTGCATGTGGTGTTGACTCGCTGGTGTCCAGACCTGTTCAATGGAAAATAGGTATAGGTGAAGTGAGTTCAAGTTAGTCGACGTGCTGCAAGCAATCATCAATTCTGCTTTGCTTCACAGTCTGTCCACGCATACACTGAACACGGTCAATCGATGCGCGGATGAAATGCGTGTCAAGTGATCGTGGAAATAATGGTGTCGTCTCACCATCAATGCTGCATGACACACTGAAAGCAAAGAAAAGCCCACACACTGAATCACAAACTCAATGTCACACACGAGCACACCACCACGCACAAACACACAAATGCGAGGTGTTCAACACCCGATATTCCTGATCTCCTGATATCGAGGCATGTGCTTGCTTGTCGACATTGCTATGCTTCAGGTGATGAATTATTGTGGTGTGCAAGACAGACAGGCAGTAATGACTGTGAGAGAGAAGGCAAGGGAAGAGAGGAGGATAGAGCAGTGAGAAGAGTGGGTGTGGTGAGTTGGCATTTGACGAAGTGAGAAGTGAGTGATGGAAGCAGCAAGACGAAGACGACCAACTCACTTGCGGTTCCACCAGTAGTCACGAGTGTTGTGTTGACCACATTTGTCGTCTGTCCAGATGCTGTTGACGAGCTGCTACTCGGTGTTAGTGTGGACGATTGCCTTGCATGTGGTGTTGACTCGCTGGTGTCCAGACCTGTTCAATGGAAAATAGGTATAGGTGAAGTGAGTTCAAGTTAGTCGACGTGCTGCAAGCAATCATCAATTCTGCTTTGCTTCACAGTCTGTCCACGCATACACTGAACACGGTCAATCGATGCGCGGATGAAATGCGTGTCAAGTGATCGTGGAAATAATGGTGTCGTCTCACCATCAATGCTGCATGACACACTGAAAGCAAAGAAAAGCCCACACACTGAATCACAAACTCAATGTCACACACGAGCACACCACCACGCACAAACACACAAATGCGAGGTGTTCAACACCCGATATTCCTGATCTCCTGAATATCGAGGCATGTGCTTGCTTGTCGACATTGCTATGCTTCAGGTGATGAATTATTGCGGTGTGCAAGACAGACAGGCAGTAATGACTGTGAGAGAGAAGGCAAGGGAAGAGAGGAGGATAGAGCAGTGAGAAGAGTGGGTGTGGTGAGTTGGCATTTGACGAAGTGAGAAGTGAGTGATGGAAGCAGCAAGACGAAGACGACCAACTCACTTGCGGTTCCACCAGTAGTCACGAGTGTTGTGTTGACCACATTTGTCGTCTGTCCAGATGCTGTTGACGAGCTGCTACTCGGTGTTAGTGTGGACGATTGCCTTGCATGTGGTGTTGACTCGCTGGTGTCCAGACCTGTTCAATGGAAAATAGGTATAGGTGAAGTGAGTTCAAGTTAGTCGACGTGCTGCAAGCAATCATCAATTCTGCTTTGCTTCACAGTCTGTCCACGCATACACTGAACACGGTCAATCGATGCGCGGATGAAATGCGTGTCAAGTGATCGTGGAAATAATGGTGTCGTCTCACCATCAATGCTGCATGACACACTGAAAGCAAAGAAAAGCCCACACACTGAATCACAAACTCAATGTCACACACGAGCACACCACCACGCACAAACACACAAATGCGAGGTGTTCAACACCCGATATTCCTGATCTCCTGAATATCGAGGCATGTGCTTGCTTGTCGACATTGCTATGCTTCAGGTGATGAATTATTGCGGTGTGCAAGACAGACAGGCAGTAATGACTGTGAGAGAGAAGGCAAGGGAAGAGAGGAGGATAGAGCAGTGAGAAGAGTGGGTGTGGTGAGTTGGCATTGACGAAGTGAGAAGTGAGTGATGGAAGCAGCAAGACGAAGACGACCAACTCACTTGCGGTTCCACCAGTAGTCACGAGTGTTGTGTTGACCACATTTGTCGTCTGTCCAGATGCTGTTGACGAGCTGCTACTCGGTGTTAGTGTGGACGATTGCCTTGCATGTGGTGTTGACTCGCTGGTGTCCAGACCTGTTCAATGGAAAATAGGTATAGGTGAAGTGAGTTCAAGTTAGTCGACGTGCTGCAAGCAATCATCAATTCTGCTTTGCTTCACAGTCTGTCCACGCATACACTGAACACGGTCAATCGATGCGCGGATGAAATGCGTGTCAAGTGATCGTGGAAATAATGGTGTCGTCTCACCATCAATGCTGCATGACACACTGAAAGCAAAGAAAAGCCCACACACTGAATCACAAACTCAATGTCACACACGAGCACACCACCACGCACAAACACACAAATGCGAGGTGTTCAACACCCGATATTCCTGATCTCCTGAATATCGAGGCATGTGCTTGCTTGTCGACATTGCTATGCTTCAGGTGATGAATTATTGCGGTGTGCAAGACAGACAGGCAGTAATGACTGTGAGAGAGAAGGCAAGGGAAGAGAGGAGGATAGAGCAGTGAGAAGAGTGGGTGTGGTGAGTTGGCATTTGACGAAGTGAGAAGTGAGTGATGGAAGCAGCAAGACGAAGACGACCAACTCACTTGCGGTTCCACCAGTAGTCACGAGTGTTGTGTTGACCACATTTGTCGTCTGTCCAGATGCTGTTGACGAGCTGCTACTCGGTGTTAGTGTGGACGATTGCCTTGCATGTGGTGTTGACTCGCTGGTGTCCAGACCTGTTCAATGGAAAATAGGTATAGGTGAAGTGAGTTCAAGTTAGTCGACGTGCTGCAAGCAATCATCAATTCTGCTTTGCTTCACAGTCTGTCCACGCATTCACTGGTCGCCATCATTCCGTGGCCTTATGGATTATATTTTTTTTTTTTGTTGATATTGTCTCTTGCCTTTTCTTTTTGTTTCTGCCGGAAATTTTTCATTCTCTTTTGTTTTTAGTTTCTTTTCTTTTGCTTTTTTCGTTAATTTTTTTTCATTTTTTTTATTTTTGCTTTGGTTTTTTCTTCGTGATTTCTTTTTTGTTTGTTTTTGTTGTTTTTGCTTTTTCTCTTTTGTTGTGGTTTTGCGTATTTTTATTGTTTTCTTCACCATTTTTTTTTCATTTTTTGTCTCATTTTGGTCACTGTGTATGTTTGGTCTTTTTCTCCTCTAATTTTTTTCACTTTTTCCACTCTCGCTCTTGTTATACTTTAGCACGCTGCATGTCCTTTTGATTTTGTCTCCTACTTGGATCTTATTTAACCAGCTGACTATTCGCCACCACTGCTTATCCCTTTGGAGTATGAACTTCCCTGATGTTGTGCATACTTATCGAATTCCCCGTTAACTTAGACCAATTGCACTTTGTACAACACACTTGCCTGTCGAATTGTCTATCGTTGATAATGGATAGTGTCTGACTCCTACTGAAACTTTCCAGATCAATCCTGTATGTGACACTTATTCAGGGTAATAGTTTTATTTTGTCGTGGTTACGTTTACTGTCTTATGTACCTTTTGACATATGACATTATTATTTTTTGTATCTTCCTGAAGCTTTGCCTTTTTTATTTCAACTGTTTTTTTAGTTAAGTCATTTTGAAATTCTGTTTACAATGTGTTTATTCGTTCTGACTTTTGTCCAAATTTTCATTCGGCGTTTTTGTCTTTTTGTTTATACTTCTAAGCAATATTTCTCTGTGTTTTCCTGAGTTTTGTTTGATCAGCTGCAGAAGATGCGTAATTCTTTCCAGGCAATTTTAGTCAACGTTGGTTTATTAAGTTATCTGTGTTATTTCACGGAATTTTCACTCAGCGTATATATCGTTCAATTAACATTGATTCGTTTTTAGATGCATGTTGTCCTAGTTTCTACTGATGAAGGTTTTAAATATACAGTGTAATTTATTTTTATACTGTGACCTAATTACGGCGAAACCAGCTGCAAATTCAACAAAACGAAGATATGCAAACGAAAACTATGGATTGTTAATAGTTGTGTTTCGTTGTTGTTATCTTGGTTCGCATTGATTGATATCAACTGGTATATATGCTCCTATGTGGATACATCGATTTTACCTGTGTACCGACTAGGTCGTAGTTTTCTTTGAGGTGGCTAGCAGTGGAATCCTGGATGCGTGTTTCGTTCTGCTCTGCATTTGTCACCTTGATGTACCTGCACTTCAGTGAGTGATGGTGTTCTCCTTGAGACTGTAACCCAGTACCCATTGCTTCGAACACCATGGCTTTATCTAATAGGCCACTGAAGTATTGGAGCCACCTTCCGTGAGATGTTATCATATATGCCAATCACTTAGAAGTTATGTAACAGCGGGAAGTTATTAGTACTAATAAGTGCAAATAACGGATACTCACTGAATGGGAGATGGCTGTCATACATCAACGTATTGAAAATATAGAAATGTAGCAGATAAATATTCTTTTTGTGAACTTATCAGGATTGGGTGTTTCATTAGGTGGAGTGTGCGGAAAATAATATTCTCACGTCAATTACCACTTACTTATTGACACACTTTTCTAGTAATGTTTTACAAAACTTCTCAGTCTATTCATTCAGCAAAGGTTCATGTAGTTCGAATCAACATTACTATATTATATACGTCCGTAAGTATTGGTTACAAACAATTCCATATTAGATTTGTTTATTTATATGGTGCTCACTGATTCAGTAGTTTTTACTTGACGACGATGTTTTGAGCATAAATTATTGCTCATAAGCAAATCAATGTAATCACACCACTTTCGATATCTAATTTTTATAGTCTTCTCACCTTATATAATTCGTTTTCCTTGGTAATAAGATTTTCTTTGGTGTTGGACTTAAGTACATTGGTTTTTACCATCTTGTTGTGTGGTTGTGTGTTAATGCATGCATCTCTGAGTGAGATAAGCTTTATCGGCTCTTAAGGATCCGATAGAACCAGTTAAGCAGAATAATCCAATCTATCAAATTCCATGTAATGACTACGAGGTCAAGTACATAGGTCACACTAGCCGGTTGAGGTCAGTTAGATTAGCAGAACATAGGAATTTAGCTAAATATGAAATGACAGACCCAAATAAGATCAATAATCTAGAAAAGTACTCGGCTATTGCAATGCGTGCATTAACACAACCATACAATAGGATGCGATAAAACTACTATACCTAATAAATAACACTGAAGGAGGATTCTGGTCCAGCTATATGCTCAGAGTTCACCAAAAGTTCAAGAATTGAACTGTTGGTTGATATACCTTCCACCCTTGACAATTATGCAGAACAGTGCTAAGAGATACGTTTGGAAAGTGTGCGCTTTGTGAGGCCTATATAACTAGCTCCACAGGAGCAAGTAAATTTGTAGACACAAATCGAGGTGGTCCAATAAGGTTGGGTGGAAAGAGAGATTGATTACTGGAAATCTGTTCATCGAATCAACACCCAATATATGTAATAGAAATGACGTAACACCTACACATGAGATATGGAAAATTTTACTACCAATAAAGGCGAATTATATGAGGCAAGAAGACTATAAAAATTAGATGTCGAAAGCAGTGTGATTACAGTGATCTGACTGCGAGTCAAACTTTGTACTCAAAACGTCATCATCAAGTAAATGATTCTTTATCACTGTCTATTATAAATCAAATAAACAAATCTAAAATGCAACTGTTTTGCTTATTTAAATATATGGGATCTATAAGAGAGGTAGATGTAGTGAAATTCCATTTAAATAGAAAATTATATGAAACAGTTTTATTATGATACCAGAGTGTTTCAATCTTCTAAACACGCTGGGATTATATTAAAACTTACTTAAACCTGACTCAATGCTCAACTTCTTTCGGGCATTCGTAACAACTATGACCGGGATGTTTATAACCTAAATAAAGAATGCTTACCAAAACATTAGGAATGAAATTGAATTTCCATTTGCACTGAAAACAATGGTGATAGTCTTTGCTAAAATAGTGAACCTAGGGTTTACGTAACAGGATCAATGTTTCTACATTCATTTTTCTCCATAAAAGCCTATATATATATATATATATATATATATATATGTTTAGAAACATCCTAGAATAAAATATGTTACCAAATATTTAGCGTTATTTGCTTCATGTTTAGAATTACAGTTGTATATATTATTATAGCACACCAAGTAGCATGTGAATAGTGTCTTTTTAAACATAAAGACTATGATGTAAATTTCGTACATTTGGATTGCAACTGGTCTGATTTGTGAAAACGTTTGGTATGTTTCTAGATAAATGGACAGAGCCTTATTAATATATGGAGTTTCTCTAAAGTGTCTTACGTATTCATACGATTTCGGTGTTAGTAGACCTGTGTGAATAATTAGAAGTGATTCAAACTAAAGCTTATAGATAATATATTTCAAAGACATGTTTGTCTTTTGCAGTGGTGTTTCTACAATAATGGGTGGGGAATCAATTAAACACTGGTGAATATACGTCATTTACGAAACCGTAGCTCATAAAACAGATAAATTCTAACTTTCTAATTCCTGTGATTTATTTATCTTCAGTTCTGGTTTCATTTACAAATTGGATAACCAAGTGCTTATTTAACATAAAGAACGTATTAAAATGCCTTCCTCTGTAAATCCTGCCAAGATGTAGGCATCAACGAGTTACCTAAAATATGTGCATGATTATAAATTCCATATCACACACAGATTCTGACTTAAGAACATGCTTGACTTCAAATGTTTAACCACTGCTTAGCTGAGTAAGATTTTTGCCAGTGTAGTACTTCAGGATAACATGATATAGTAATAAAATAATATGATAATGCTACAAATGTGGAGAATCAAATTACCAATGGAAAGCCCGATTATTCAATACTGAAGTAGGAAAGTGTAACGTTTACGTAATTACGTAATCGGTTACATTTCATTAAATATGATCTAATCTAAAGCAAAATGGTTAACTGTCATCATCAAAGAAGCTTTGTGAAATATAAAAGAATCTTAAAAGTATCCTAGATGGATGTGTTTACTAGACTTCATTTTCCACCTGGTTTGAGAGATATCCAATTCAGTTGAGGTTAAATACATGTTGTGTTTTAACTTTCAGTACACAAAACTGTTTTTAATGTATGCTGTCTAAAACACAATACAAAAATGTATTTAGCATTCATACACACTATTACCCTCTCCTCACCCCAATAGATCTGAATACTTTTGTCCAGAAATGATTTCTGACGAGTCAATACTCGAATTTCATTTCGTATATACTTTAATCAACAAACCAAAGGCAGTTAGAGGCAATATTAAAAGGTAAGTTCTAAAGAGAATTATGAATTTAAAGAGAAAAATGGCTCAACTGTATAAAATAATCAATAGTATTACTTTCTTCACGAGAACGAAGTTGTTTATACTTTTTATTATGACATCTCCCTTCACAAAATAAGCTTTTCATGTAGACGTGAAACTGTAAAGTGCGTAAATGTTTCTGCAGAAAACTTTGGTTTTTTTTTAATAAAAGCTTTTGAAGTGATTGTATGGTTCCGTTATTACTCATTTATCTACAATTAACTCTGACTCTCTTCTGCTTTAGTAATAAACACACTTATTTATTTTACACTACAAATAGTCTATAACCGTGTGTTAACATTTAGAGAAATTGGATTTCAAGCTGTTACCAGTGTAACTGAATAGTTTTCTGGTATAATTGTTAGGAATAGTCCCATTTGTTTTATGTTTTACAAAATTATGGATATAAATATTTATATACAACAAATTATCTATCCACTATAGAGATATCTACCATTTTAATTTCACTGAAGCAAGTTTTGTTTTCGCACGCTTTAGATACATGCTTTGAAAACGTCAAAGAATAGTAATTTCATGTAGATAAACTTCTAACCATCAGTTCAGTCACTTGTAACTACAATATATGCCAATCCATTAGTATTATTATTACTGTCAATCCACTACACTGTATTGATAACAGCTGATGTAGGTTAACGAGTTAGAAAGAGAACGTAAGCTTATTACTTATTTTTTTTCAGTTTATAATAAACTATATCATTAAACTGTTAAAAGAAGATATTGCTTCTCTCTTAGCAACTAGAAAACCTTATCACAGGGCGTTGACAATAGTCCCCTGAATAAATGGATTCAAATATCTTAGAATATGAATATTCTCGACTTCTTTAAACCAATACTGAAATCTCAACAAACAGTATTTTAAATCAATGATTATTAAACAGATTGAATGACATACACTTCCTAAGGCAAACGTCTATATTGACCAATCCATAATAACGTAATTGCTTCAGCTGTCTGCAATGTGAATTCAAAATACCTGTGAGGATTTGATGTGTTAGAATCACGTTGATTGAGCTATTAACTACTAGTTTTGCTGTGACCTGTATAGTTGTTACAGATTTTGGTGAGTTACTATGCATAGATGTATGATTATTCTTTGTATTAATTATTTTGAGATTGACAGAAGTGCATTCCACACCACTTCTAAGTGTTAGACTCCATGCAGTAGTCAGATTTATATGCTGAAGTAAGAAAAAGGTTTGAATGATCAAATAATTATGCTATAATAAGATAATATTTTATGGAAAATCTTTTTATAACTTGTTTAAACTGATTTCAGTTTTTTATATTCTTTCGATACAGGAGGGTGATTATCATCATATTTTATTTGTTTTTTTTTCAGTTTCGCGAAAAGCTAAATGGAATTAGACGTTTCGTTAACGTTTAACCCAATAAATACAAAAAATGAGGATTTCTGCATTTTTAGATTGGCTTGTTATCACTAAGTTTTAAGGTTCTAAAAGGTACTAGTTAACAGTTTTTAGCGACACAAGCAATTTTTATTCATTAATACTAGTAGGGAGAAAATATTAAATCAATAACGTTAAGGATAGCGTTCTCATTTAATTGACGATGAATGCATCAAAGACTAATGATAGTTATGACGTCATATGATCATATAGGTATCTATTTACTCATGAAACTATTATTATTATTACTATAATTATTTGTCACTGGGTTCCTAATGGAACATAGAGATCTGTAGCACGTCTCCTTTCCACTCTCTTCTCTACAATCTCTCGAACCTGGCACCATGACTGCCCACAACCTCTCATTTCTTTCTCACACCATCCCTTCCATGTCACCCTCACCTCAGACACCCAACTCGACGGCCTCGCCTGACGCGTGATGTCCTCAGTCGACCTTCTCAGTGTATGCCCAATCCATCTCCACTTCCTTCCACTGCATATTTGTTGAGTGATGGGTTCTTGCTTCGTTGGTTCGTTGCCAGAGTTCCTTGTTGCTCATTCTTTCTAGTCATTTGAGCTTCAGTAACGAGCTAGCATAGGCAGTTGTTGATGAATGTCTGTAGTTTGTTGGAAATCCCTTTCGTAATGTGCCAAGTCTCTGAACCATACAGAAGCACTGACTTGACATTCGTGTTGAAAATCTGGATGTTGTTCCACATGCTGGGCGCAGAAGATTTCCACACTGGCTAATGAAAACTTGTCTTGCTTTTCCGATCCTGGCTTTGGCGTTCTTGTCTGTGCCGCCTGTAGTTGAAGCAGGGCTGGCCAGGTGGATAGGTGAAGGAGGCTACTTCCTTTAAGTTTCCCCCGCTGATGGTGATTGAAGCTTCTGGTTGTTGTTGTTACTCATGAAACCAGTTACTCTGAATAATAATCTTAGTACTCTGGCAACGGATACTACTAAATACTGACTCGTCACGGAAGAGCAACTGATTTCATGTTGTCGATTCCCGATTGTTGATATATATCGACTGATTGTTTACATGGTAGTCACCAAGCTCAGAAATACTAGTGTAGTGCACTCTGACTTATGTTGGCTGACGTTGCAGATACGTCTACCTGACTACTGCTAACAAACGTTACTGGCTTTTCACCGATCACCTTAAAACAGTAACTAGTATCACTATAATTAATAAACACTTTTTAGAGAAGTACACTTTTCTTCCTTTATAATACACAGAAATTGTAAAAGTGAATTCTTGGTAATGGACCAATCTATATTTGAATAGCTTATCTTATGGCTTAGGTTGTAAAATGACCTAACGTTTGAGATCTCTCTTCAAATCTACTAAATTTATGGACCTATATAAAAATAGTAACTGCAGAAAAATTATCACATACGCAACAGACAGTTACAGTAACAAACTTTTATCTTAAACTTAATGACTGAAAGTGAAAAGGATTTCATGAACTCTGTACATCAAAGTACCCTTTAAAATGGAATTCATAAGGCTAAACTTGATATAAATTCAACCTGAATAACATGAAACTACAAAAATAAGTGTGCTATTAACTTCAGCCGTGTCATATTTCGGCGTTCATAATTATTAAGTCTACTGAAGTATCTTATCAGATACTGGAACATCCATAAGGAGATTCTGATCAACAGCATATTCAGTTAGCATAAGTAAATGCACGTCATACGTTGTAGATAAAATAATGATTTGAATGGAATATCAGTGTTCCATTTGATAGGAATATTTATTTTTATTTATCAAAAGATGAAAAGAATAGTGTCACAGTCCAACATAGGCCAACTATCAAGTGCCTATTTTTCTAAATACTTTAAGCTTGATGGCTGACTATTATATAAAGTACAAGAAAGAATGAGATTCTGCATTCTGATGTCAATAATACAATCATTTAGTCAGTGATACAGATCTATATAATCAATACGATGTCAAATTGGGAAAATGAAACGGTTTAAGATCACTTTGAGTCAAACTGGAAATCTTTCCGGTGACATATTGAATAGTATTTAATCAGAACAGAAAAAGAAATCCGAAAACGTTTCACATTTTTAGCTTATTTCATCAGCGTTAATCCGAAATCTAAATACAAATCTAAAATTAACTTACATCAAACAAATTCTTCACTTCACCAACAATAATTAAACCAAATAAGTGGAAATTTTCGAAAATACTGAGTGAAAGTAAAATAAAAATTAATGAAAATAAAACTCTGGGTAGTTAAGAAGCTTCAAGAAGTTAATCCTGAAGCTCAGATGGCTAGAAAGAATGAGCAACAAGGAACTCTGGCAACGAACCAACGAAGCAAGAACCCATCACTCAACAAATATGCAGTGGAAGGAAGTGGAGATGGATTGGGCATACACTGAGAAGGTCGACTGAGGACATCACGCGTCAGGCCAGACCGTCGAGTGGAACCCCGAATGGAAACGACGAGTTGGGTGTCTGAGGTGAGGGTGACATGGAAGGGATGGTGTGAGAAAGAAATGAGAGGTTGTGGGCAGTCATGGTGCCAGGTTCGAGAGATTGTAGAGAAGAGAGTGGAATGGAAATGTGCTACAGAATCCCTATGTTCCATTAGGAACCCGAATGACAAATATATATAATAATAATGTTAATTTCATAAAGTGAGATTTCTATTTCGATGGCTGAATACCCAAAGGAATCAAATTCATTGATATGAATAAATTATTTTAAGGTAATACAGTTTGGTTACTAAACGAACACCAAAAAATTGCTTCAAGAAACTTCAACACATCATTATCGCTATAATGAAATGAAATGAAATTCGGACGGGTTTGCGAAAGTTAATCAAGCTGAATAAACTAGCAGTCCTCGTAGTAAGCCTAGAAATGATAATTAAGCTGGTTTGAATGCAAAGCTAAGTAATTTCAGACAGAATATAAAGTACATGAAAAACTACACAAACAATGCTTGATAATGATGACAATAAAAGGAACATATTTGAAAATATTGGTATAAAATGCATACTACTTGTTAAATATAATTATTTCGTTTACGGTTAAATTAAGATCTGGTCTTGAGATTACAGTGGAATACAAATAGAATCTTATCAATGAGTAGCTTGTAGAATTTCTATTACAACTCGACTACACAGGCTTCTCATTCCTGTGTATTCTGTGATTGCATGGAAGTACGGAAACCACTTTGTATTAATCATAAGATAAAACTAAATTAAAATGTAGTTATTGTTTTGTGGAATGCTTCATTTCCAAGGAAAATGATTTATATCCCTAATCAGATTGTGCATACAAAAACACCTACACCTTCTGACTAGATTATCCTTTTGATCGAAGTTTCTTGTATTATCATAAATTCCATGTTATCAGTGGCTTAAATATGTGCGAAATATGCACTATAAAACTCTAATTAGACACAGTATATCATTCTTTCTTAGGTTACTGAGTGAAACACTTTACAAACTATTCGTATTAGTCTGTTTAGACATTAATGATGCTCATCTGACTGACAAATCAAATTAAAATGATGGACTGAGACATTGTTTTATTTAATAAGTGCAATTTCATTCATTCTTGTTATTGAATACTGACAGAGCTTGTCACTCCCAAAACGGAACATATTTCACTTAGGCTTGAAGATGAAATACGTTATTTCGGCGATTGATGGATTAACTTATGAAATAGAAACCATCTCATGGATTACTTTATTTGTGTATTTTAATTTTCGACTGAAACTCTTCAACGGAATAAAAACTGTTTACTACTCGGAGTGAGTATTGAGCTGGCTGCAATTCACAATGTCTGTCACTATAAGGAGTCACAGCTATTCTCACAACCATTGAAAAGTTTTATTCAAGAAATGTATCAAAATTTTCTGACTATAACCTCAAGATATGATGAGCATATGTTTGTTTAGTGTTTATTTGATAATTTTCAATTGTCAGTCACGAATTTTATCAGGAAAGATAGTTTTCAATTATTGGGAAAAATTTAGACGAAAAAGGAATATTCATTAATGTTAAATTACTTAGTAACTACGCTGACTTATATTCCATGTTATGCCAATAGCAAGAATCAGGTAAAAAGGAAAGTAATGCGATTATTTGGTTAACTGTTACATCAGTTACACTTTTAGTAGCTCAGCCATTTTCGAATAGTCATTCACTCGGTATTAAACATTTCATTAGGTGAGTTTATATCAGGCTAACAAGATTAAAATGAGCTGTTACTAAAGGAAATGCTTAATTTTGTGAGCCAACTAGCATGCAGCAAAGAACTTACGCTTTGGTTTTTAATATTTGATAGTTGGTTCAGGTTAAACTTATCATTCATTAGGAGTATATGCTTCCAGTCGATATTACCTGTTGCTCCATACAAACTTTTAATTATCTTGACAGAAACAAACGAAGTAATCATATTGTAAGTGTGTAGACAGCAGACCATGTAGCTAGTTATAGAATATAGCGTATTAAATAGAATACATACCAACCAACATTTTAGTGAACAAATTATGATGTAGGGGAGTGTTAGGCAAGACAAAACTGTGAAGAGGTAATAAGCTAAATTGTAGTCTTACACGTTTCAAAGATGTTTGCCTTCCATCTCGAAATGCAACATATATTAATTTTAATTCGAGTAATTATGATGGCCTTTAACCTAATTCTGATGGATGCTTTGATGAACAGATATTCCTGATATTTATTAGCATCAAAGACATCAGAACTGTGCATAAACAGTTCGTACTTCAAAAAATATACTGCGAAATATATGACTACTTGGAATAGATAAATTAGTAGTACTAGGAATTACCTTAACGAGACCCAAATATCATTTTTAAATGATTCCTTACTGAAACATCTCACTGTCTATTCGCATGAGATTAAATGGTCGATCAAAAAGTCAAAATTAGACGACCTAATACCGATTACACAGAACCATCCTAATATTCTTCCTAATAATTCATTTTACACAGTAGTAAATATCTTCTGAGTGTAACACAACATGTTGTCTTGATTTAACTGCTTCTATAAGCAATCTTTTACAATCGATAAATTTTCAGACAGTCTTATTATGTAAAAGAATGAATTTTATCTTGAGAGTGAAAGTACAATGAGTTTAGTGATGTTAATTTGATTCCGGGTACTTTACCTAGATCCTGGTAGCGTATGCATATTAGATTGCAAATACTACCAAAACTGAACAAATTTAAACCAGGTTGAGGAGAAATTACTGATGAAAATAGGGCCTGACATAGATTTAGAATAATGTGAATTACATGACTTGAAAGGAACTCCAGGGATTAGTAAGAAAACTGACTAGTTAGAAGATGATGGAGTGAATATTTTAAATATTCAGAAAACTGACAACACTGACTACATCGTTTAAAAAAATCTAATGCGGTTGATATTGACGTGATGAGTGAAATGAACGAGGTTCACATAAAAAAAGCTTTCATAAGTGACCTCATTGATTTCAGACAAATAGCTTCTTAACGTATTCTATAATGCAGATACCATGATTCGACTGATCCATTATTTTTATCCACCATTTAAGCTTCCAAAAGGAATATTTACATTCTCATGTTAAAAGTCAATCTCTTTTATATTCCTGACACTTTCCTCCAGCTAAAGTGAATAACAGTATTCGAAGTCTGTAATAGATCACATTTTTATCAACCATTTGCTGTTTCTACCTTATAATTTTGATTCACATGTAATTAGCTGGAGACTGACTGAAATAGAATGAATTCATCTCATTTCTTTGTTCTCTATAAACTATTAATATTAGATAATATGAAGAAGCGTATCATTTCGAAGACATTTGAATGAACAAAGAATCACCTTTTCAATAATTTCTTTTCAAAGTTACACAGTTATATGCCAATACTGTTCAATTAGTAAATAAATATGCTTTAAAAAGGGAGATTTCTTAAAACAGTCTGCTGTTAATGCTATATATTCTGAGAATTCTAATCAGGAAACAATAACGTGAAAGGTAATATCAAAATGCAATACCACAGACCAAAATGACCAGTGAATATTGATGACTATACATCCATAGTAACACTAGTAGGTCAAAGTCAATCATATTCACCTTGATGATGAATTATGTGTATAAAAAGCCTACTGTTATTAGAAAGGAAGTGAAATGTAGATAAGCGCGAATATAAAATCTGTAAAAGTAACAGGTTGCGTCATATAAATGTATGTGGAACTGAAAAAATTGAAGACTACAAGGAGGCAACAAGGTCACGTGTATGTTCATACGTTCTTGTCGGTGTACATGAAAGTAGGATTCGATTAAGGAAGGCAGATAATTTGAAGTTGAACCGTGTATTGAGAAAAGGGAGTTTATCTGGGAAATGTAATGTGTGTGAGTAAGATCAAGCGATGGTCACACGTCACGAATTCAAATGGTGTTTGGGCGAAACCTTTGGTTATTTAAGTGGAATAAAAATGTGGCCAGCAGTTAGACCTCGTTGTCCAGTTGGTAGAGAACCGAGCCGGAAACGCGGTGGTTGCTGGTTCGAATCTTGCTACGGTTCAAATTTTCATTTCAACTTCAATCATCACCCGGTATCACATGTAATGTGTTCGCGCAATACATTTCAAATAGTCTAATCACACAATTACTTGTCATGGCATTTTTACATGAGAGGTGAAAATAGAGTAAGGTAGGGCAAGTAAATTAGAAGAGCAAGGAGAACTATAATTCTATTTAACGTATAAGTTGTGAGGACCCAATTCGAATTGTTTTCCTGAGATATACAAAGTAAATCTTCCATTATCTCTTGTACTATCTATGTGCTGCTCTTCAACGCATAAAAAGGCTCAAGGGCTAGCACAGTGCAGTCAGAAACAAACTATGTATGTCTTCACCAAAAGATATTTTTGAACTTCTTCCCTACTTAAATACATCAGTGTCAACGTGGGTTAGTAAAGTCCTCATTTGATATGATCCAACTTATGCTTGAGTCAGATGCAGTAGTAAAGAAAATACAAAACTTGAAGTTGATCAATCAGTGCTGAAACGATTCAACATCACGATCATCTCACTATTTTGGACATGTTTGGAAATATCGATATTAGCGACAAACAGAGGAATTCAGAACGCGTGTTTTATCCTATATGGGACTCGTCGGTTGAACGTACTTGCACCCCAGTGAGTGATGTTGTTCTCACTGAGGCTGGAACCTAGTACTTGTTGCTACAAACACCAGAGCGTTATCCACTAACCCACTGGCACTCGATACCCACCTCTCGTACAAGCATAATAACAACAATATTCGGAAACAGCTGGAGAAAAACAACACCCTAATACTTTGATAAATACGGGAGACAGACATCATCATTTGTAAGTTAACACAGAAAGTGTCTTAAGGATTTACCCGATAACATTCTTTAGACCATTATATAGGAGCCGTAACCACCGTATATTCAGGTTCATTGAAGCCTTACCTAAGTGAAAGTTCAAACACTCTCTTTGGTTCCAACACTAATTTGTCCTTACCTAAGCCCTATCACCGTAATCTACAAATGATTTGAATAACAAAGGTGATGCGAAAATTTATTATTCCTCCTTATCAGACCGAATTTGTAAAATCTTGTACCATCATAATTTATTTACCTTTCTTCACCTTATAACCTTACATGTAAAAATATCTTGATAGGTAAGTTTGTGATTAGATTGTTCCAAGTGTATCGTGCAATTATATCACATGTCTTAGATAAACTTTGTTTCCCTTTTACATCATGTAAACTCGAATAATATAAAATACATAATTACTTATATTCTGACAGGCGTTATGAGTTCAGTATAAACTGAAATAACTTCAGATGGTTATATTCCATTGGCACTGTTCACTAATAAGTTAATAGTGAAGCCGAAAAAGTTGGCTAAGTGGCAAACAAAAAGCGCTTTCAAGCTCTGAATAACGGATTATGAACTGAAAACTAATTCAATAAAAATCCTTGCATGTAAACATCATCAGAGACTGAATGGGGCTTATGCTTATTACGATGAAGACATTATATCTTTCACGACATTCGAAACCTTACTACAAGGTATATGTCACTCAGAAATACTTCGTTTCCAATTATGCAGCTTGTTACATCCTATTATTCTCTATGCTAACTTTAAATTTCGCCTATTACACACTTGTAAGGCTTTTTTGCCTAAACAGCTTCAAATTACTTCACAGTTCTTTCTAAAAATTCATGATGGTTTTTTTCTAAAAATGCTAATCAAGGAAGCATTTTTACTCAAACTTTACTACTTAATATGTTAGCTGACACGAATCCTAAGGGGAATAGAAACCAGATAACTGTAATTACATTCATAAGTCACTGGAAGTGAACTAACTTCATGTTATTCAGTCCTTATTATTGGTCAGAATCTACTGATCATTCCGTAAAGTGGTCATCCAGCTAAGAAGCTCAGCGTCACAATGTTTGAAGGCAACTAGGAATGTTCAAATTTCTCTTTAGGAGGGAAATCAACTTCTTTTAGGTTACAGATACGCTTTATTGATGACTGCCAGTAAGTACAAAAACTAGTTTTAGAACTTTCTGTTGATTTATTCTATTTCAAAAAGTCTAATTTTTATAAAGGATCATGAAGCAGTCACATTTTGAACATACCACTTTCTAGATGAAGTTTATGAACTGTTTTTATTCTGCTAGTGATAAAACTTACCGTGTTGCAGAACATTCCTGATATCGTCTGGAATAACAGTGATAATGGATTAAATAGTTTTGACCATTTCGTTGATTTTGCCATAAATTCATTATGTAATAAAGCTTTGACTTCAAAGCTATTCCTCGCTTTAAAATTAAGTGGAAAAAGTTGTTAGATGAAAGTTAAATTAATGGTTCAATTTTCACTCCTTGGTTTCTGGAAGTCAAAATACTGATTAGATTAAACATATTAGTCCATGATGAATAATACTTTCAGATTAGTGAATCTTTGTACACCTTTAAACTGAATTAGAATCTACTGCTCATTATTCACTTGCTTAGAGATGGATCTATCTAATCTCTTATGAATAGCCGTAACCTATAGGACAAGCGAAGTCCTTTGTGTATGGAAAAACTGTGGTTATTAGCATTATATGATAGTTACATTTTATCACGAGCTGACAGGAAGGGAAGGCAATGTGGACTTCTAGGTTTTGCTTTACTATCTGAATAGTGATATCCATCCATGAGACCTGATGGACTTTATTTCATACCCGGTAGGTCGTGGGTTCAACCAACTGAAAAACCAAACAGCTGTTCAGTGCTCCCAAGTTTTCAATGGTTTTCTAACTGATATCAGTCTGTGATAAGTATTAGGTCGAAAATATATATATTGGAGTGTAAGCACAGGTCGGTTATTGAAAAGTGATAGAAAAGAAAACATGATTCCATTATATTAACTAGACTGAAATGAAATACACAGGGTATTAAATAAAAGAGAAGAGTTGAGGTTGACTCACGATCTATCCCTCTGCTAATGCTGAATTTTGGTATGACATTTTATCTAATTCTGTTGAAAATGCCAAGTGAATGTTGAGGGACTACTATGTATTACACCTTAATTCATTTCTTGACAATATCTTTCTTCAATTTGTATTACAAAAATTAGTTGAATGCTAGAAAATATCTTCCAGTAAATCACCTAATACTTTGACATTGTCTAATCTTATTGTGGATTGGAAATACTAATAAAAGATATTGTAATAAAATGAACTTCACTATCTTGAAGCTTTGAACAAGATGTTTAATGGATTTCATGAATCGCTTTCCAATGTTTTCTAAAATAAACACAAATGGTTAATTTAAAGTTTTACAATACACCAGATAACGTTCTTTCTTGAGTTATTTTTCACTTTATAGTCTATTTAATCATATATTTCAAGGTCACTTTTTCTGACTTCAGTACCTTATGTTGTATGCACCTCATATGACTGTTGAATATATATGATAAATGTAATAGGAAAGTGAATGAAATTTCAAGTTACTGCCTAGAAAGTATTTACATTAAAATTTATGCTAGGTTTTAGCAAATATCAATATTATTCTTTTGAACACAATTACAGAAGATCAACATTTTTGAAAAGTTACATCGATATAAAAATTACTTATTACTTCATTATTTTACAATTACGAAGCTTCAGTGCAATATGGAAGTTGGTGACGGCAAATCATTGTTTTCTTATCAATTTTTATGTCTACAAAACTCCTTGATAGATGCTGCAAGTACGCAAAAGAAGCATCATTATCTACAGTATTTTATATTTTTTTAATTTGTAAAGCTTTTACTACAGATTCTTTGACACACTCAACTGAACTGCGACCGAATTTCGGTACACTAGTCGTTAATATCTTTTCAAATGATCAGATCCCATCGTTCATTATTTGCCTCTTTGTTCTGTTACCGTAAAATAGATGAGACATCATTCAATATGTGAAGTTTCAAACACAATTTCCAACTCATGTTCAGACTAAGATAGTCTCACAGCTTTACTTCTTAGGTATGTATAGTTCGATTGTTTTTTATTCTCTGACTAAGTTTGTCGCAGGATTTCCTTTATATACATATATGGGATCAGCGTTGAATCATTCCGACTACACATGTTATGATTGTCAGTGTCATTCAAATTCACTCATAGAAAAACTTTTTCGGTCTATAGATTACATTGAGCCAATCGAACTAAAGAATTTAATTTACTAAATAGTTTACAGTGGCCATACGATAAAGTATGTAGGTTAAACTAGCCAAGTAAGGTGACTGAAGTTAGCCGAATACAGGAACATGGCTAAGTTTGCTCTGACAGACACTCATAAGATAAGTAATCCTGGTGGTGTCACCACGTGAGTAATGCAGAAGTTAGGTGTAGAGTTTTGGGGAGAAGAGGTAAGTCAGTTGACGAGGTTGTGAACCTTCATCGACTGAGATGGTTGGCTCCGACACGTACTACGTATGCCTAGTCACCGATTGCCTCGTCACACCATGTTGGCTGAGGTGGGTCCAGGCTGGAAAAAGGCCCGAGGTGGCCAGACTAAAACATGGCACCAGTGTATGAAGTCTCTGACTGTTGGTTTAAGCCATGTAGGACGATGCAAACTAGGTGGTTGGGGTCCACGGGACAAGAAGAACCAGTGGTTGGAGACCCTAGGTGATATGGCTCAGAACCGAAGTCAGTGGCGCAGATGTATACACACATTATCCTCATCTTAACAACGCTATACCGAATCTCACCATTTTGTCACTCCTCTTTCCTTTCTTCTCGTACTTTATATTTCTTTTGACTGCATTCACTTATCTTCATCCTTCACCTCACTACCTTTTTACTTGATGTGCTGATATGAGGTGTGGCAACTCGGACCGTTACGCAGTAATGCCTGGTCCTATGTTGATAATGATGATGATGGAAAGATTTCACAAATAACTACAACTGTGTTACTATACAACAGGGTAGTACAGAGTAACAGTTCTAAAGACCAATGTAACTAAACAAGGAGAGGTTGATCACTGAATCTCCGTTCTTTGTTTCAGTGCCTAACATGTGCAATAAGAATAACTTAACAGTGATCCCACATGTATTAATGAAAATTTTACCAAGTAAATCAAAGAATGAAAAGCAGTGGAACTACAAATAACTGAGATGTGATATTTCGTGACAAGTTCAGTGTAAATGTTGTCAGTAACTTGTGCTTAAAACTTCATTCAGTATATAATACTTATGTTCATGGATATCTTTTCTGTTTATCCTGCTAAATCCACAGTAATCAGTCGTTTGAATGAGATCAATATAACATTTTAGTGCTTTTCTGAATGACTTAATCTGCATGGTCAGTAAAATGTAAGTCACTTTAAATGAACTCGTTTGCTTTAGTGTAATGATGCATTAAAGAGTGGCTGGTAGAACTAAACTCAAACAGCGATTCCCTCTTGCAAAGGTTATTGACACGGAACATACTTAATTGAAGATTAAGAGGTGGTTTATTGAAAATTTGTAAGTAAAACTGTGCTTTACCCATTCATGAGCTCAACAAAAGGAAATCAACGCATAATGGTGATCGGTCAACGTTTAATCTGATATTCCCACGTAAAATGTTGAGATCTACTTGTCAGCATGCAGTGGAAATCTGCATTGTAATAGACCAGTTTATTCTGGGAACATTTTTCATCACTAAATGCTAACACTTCGAAACCTCAAGGATTCCTTTCCATTCTTTCTAGACAAGGATGAAATAACTTTATACCCATGACGGATGACACTAATACAATGATGAATTTCGGTTGCGCCAGTTTTAAGGCGTGATAAGTGTTAAATGATAAAAGACTAGTTAAAATTTGAAGTAATTTGTTAAATACCCTTGATATTGGTTTGCACAGTGATAGTGATCTACTGTTAGGCAGTAGTCAGCGCAAAATGAGACCCGAATTGGAAGGACATCATTATGTGTAAGTTTTCTTTACAAACATATTTTTAGTCAGATAAAAAGCTAATGGCCTAATTTATTTAGACTTTACAAACTAGGATGAGTAGATTATTCATTGTATATCGGCGATCGGTAGTTATCTGAGTTACATAATTTGTGGAGATAGATATAGCAAAAACAAATTTTCCCGTCAAAGGTAAATATGTATGAGCTAGTACGTTTCCGTAAACGCTACATTCAATAATAATGATAATGCATTTGCTTTATTCTGCACTATAGTTATGTTTACAGAACAGAATTCTCAGCGTGTGTTATTATTATCAATTTACCCACAGTCCAACATTTTTAAAACATTAACAATGGTTCTGTTTGACATTATATAATAAAGAATTACAAGTAACAGGATTATTGAAATGTTTAATGACTTCAGGGACATGATAACTATTTGCTATTACACAGTTGATTGATAAGACTATGTCCAACAAGATTTTCTTCACACAATACGCAAACTAAATAAGGTGGTACAGTTTAATTTTTTATGTGGTTGTGCGTTCCCAGAATACAGATATGGAGAGAAGTGTAGATGAAAAGGATGCTAGTTATTTTTAGCCAGTTGTCTACAGTAGTTCAGATGCCTATCCATGACTGCATTTATCAGCTCGGCTAGGGAGTATGCTATTTACTCTACTAACAGCTTACAAAATCCTATGCAATACAACGTAGTCCTTTTCCCGGAGTCCAGGAGAGAATGAGGGGGAAATTAAGTGAGTATAGATAAAACACAGGAATTAATATAAATTAACAGTAGTGGCTGTTATAGCAGACAGTCTGAGTTTCTCAATATAGAAGGTCAAGCGATATGTTTCCCTAGAAATCAGTAAGATATGGAGGGATCAAGAAAGATCAGAAGAAAAGCATAAGTCAAGATGGACCACCCTTACTACATTTTCTATAACAGAGTCATCTATAAGACAAGAGCCATGGGACTGAAGCAATGTGCAAAGGTCTTTTTCGTGTTTTAAGCTACAGTTAACCATCTGGCATTTGAAAAGACAGTGTGATAACATTTAAGGAAGACCGTTAACTAATTTTCTTTAGGAAGTTGTTAAAATGAGAACAATCACAAGAGAAGATGATGGATATGGATAAATCAGGTCATCAGCATACTTAACAAAGTTAGCTCCAGCTGAGTTTGGTAACTCATGTAAAAAGAAAAAGAAAAGGTGGGTAGAAAGAACAGCATCTTAAGGCATACCGGCTTCACTAAGCAGCGAAGTAGACCATTTTCCTCTATACAGGGTGTACTGTTTTCTCTCAGAAAAATATGAATCAAGCCAGTTTAAATCCAGGACTCAATGTAAGTGCTGGCAAGCTTGTTTAGTAAGAGGGGTCTG